TTGAAAAAAATGAATCAAACCAACAATATAAACACCCAGTTAAAAATTATAATTACATATACATATATGATGAATTTAAAATTTTACTACATATATTAATAGTTTGCACTTTGCACTCTTGATTTGTAAATCTAGATTGCATTTATAGTAATTCAGCTTTAATGTTGAATTTGATTTGTAATCTTTTTTTGATAAAAAATTAACTTAATTGATTTAATTTAATTTCAACAGTTATTTTGAGAAATCGTTTGAATTATTATTTCACCATCTTACAAAGGGAAAAAAAAAAATAAGAACAAAAGAATAACGCAACACTTTGTCGATCCTCAAATATTTGTTAGAAAATGAGCAAAAAAGTAAGATTTCTTTTGTTTCAATTTATTTGTCCTACTATCTTTGTTTGACAATTCTTTAATTTTGATTTTCGACGTAATTTATATAAGACCACAAGATTAAAAGACATTTTGGTACATTTATACATATAACTTTACTTTAAAAATCACAAGATTCATTTTTTTTTTTTACTTTATTAAATTCTGTATTTATTACTCAATACAAGACAACTAAATTGAAATATAGGGAGTATAAATTGGGATGTTATGATAGCTTAATTTTCAAGAAAACTCATTACTATTTGAGAATTTGAAACAATGAGGGCAATATGTATAATTTCATTTCTTCTAATATTTTTGATGATCCATGAAGCAAAAGCAAGGTCCATGCAACAATTTGATAATTCCTACAAGGAATTATTTTCTCAATTTAAAGTTGCTAGAGAGCTAAGAGGTTTAAAAGGCAAAAGAGCACCACCACCACCAGATCCTAATAGGGCAAGTCATATGCATGTCCCTCCTGCTTATCATTATAAATCACCACCACCACCATCACCATCGAAAGTACCAACAAGTTATTCATGAGCTGATAAGAGGGGAACAAGAATTTTGAATTTATGGTGAATGCTTCGATTTGTAATAAAAGATTAAGGCTGCTTGTAATTAGAGGATTTATTACTATGTATTTTGATTCTTCTTTTTCTTTTCTTTTAAATGTATAACTTATGAACAAGCAAAATTTAATAATTGTTGTTACCACCAAAGCCTAGTTATCCTCCATGACCACCCAAAGGCTAGTTTCATAAAACATGTGCTTTTGCATGGTATTTTTTCTATATGTTTATGTAAATATTTTACTTGGAGTTGGATCTTAGTATTTTGTATTATATTAACATATAACTCATATATTTTGTAATAAAAAAGATTGAGCATGAGATAAGGTAGTTGGTTTTGGGTAATACAAACATTCTATCTATGACAACCCTCATGAGGGTGTTGGCATGGCTCTAGTCGGACTTTTGATCGAATATGATGCTTATTGACAGATTTAGTTAAAAAATAAAGTCACGTTTTTTTGTTATCAGTTTTAACTTTTGACATGATATTAAATGTTTGATTCTAACAAGTGGTATCAACACCAATAACATGAGAGTGATTTTTGCCAGAAAAAACGTACATGATATTTCAAGAAAAAGTGCATCATTTTTGGCGAAAATAATAATAATCAGATGCATACGGCGTCTATTTTTATACTTTCAATCTTTTTGTTCGAAGAATATAAAGTGATAATGATCAAATTCCTTTATCGTATTGCCTTTTGATCAGTATGTGTACAAATCACAAATGATAGACCAAAGATTTGATTTGTAATCCATGGGGCTCATAAAACCCCGTAAAATTTAAGTGTGTTACAGTAAATCCAATTTCGTATAAGCGTCATTTTAATTTATTTTCCCTTAAAAGATGTTAAATTCAAAAGTCATATTTTTTTTCTCTTTTTATTCAACAAGCAAAATGACAAAGACTTTAGAGTCAACTTGTCAAAAAACAAGTTGCTAATAAAAGTCACGGGTTCTGACCAAATCATTTAATTAATTCAGGAAAGTGATAGGACTATAATATAAAAAAAATATTTTTTTATTCATCGTCTAAAAAAATATTCAACAAGTTGGAACTATGGAATAACTAAATATCAATTAAATTGTTAGTGGATTTAACCTAGTATATAGCGCACTAATTATTTTACATTATTAGTTGTTCAAGAATATAACTATGACATTGATTTTCTTGACCTTTTTGACTCACGTGTCACGATTAGCTAGCATATTATTTTATCGATACTTAAAAAAAATTCATAGAAAAAGCACAAAAGTAATATAAATAGGGATTTTATGATAACCAAGTTTTCATAAAACTACTATTTGAAAGAAAATGAGGGGAGCAAGTATAATTTCATTTCTTCTAATATTTTTTATTATTCATGAACTAGTTTGTGTGGAATTAGTAGCATCAAGATCCATGCAACAATATAATAATTCTTACAAGGAATTATTTTCTCAATACAAGATTGCTAGAGAGCTAAGAGGTTTTGGTTTAATTAGAGGCAAAATATCAATATTGTCACCACCACAATCTAATAAGCAATCTCATATGCGTCCGGCCTCTCCTATGAAGCCACCACCACCAACTCCACCGCCATCATCACCACTATCTCCGCAAATACCATTACCACCACCACCACCAGCATCGATAAGTTGAACATGAGTTGACAGGGATAGTGAAACTAGAATTTTGAATTTATAAATTCTGAATTCTGAAAAGGTAGATTTTTGTTCTAGATTAATTTTTTAAATACAAATGTAGAAGGGGGTAAAAATTAGTGATTTGTAAGATATGTAACTCCACTCGCATGAGTACCACGTTCGCAATCACTATATATAAGTTAGAGCGAGTCTCCCTTTATATGTTTTTTTTTTTGCGAGTTTTAAATTTGGTTGTAGTTGGATGGATTCAGGATTATTGTGAGTGAATTTATTATGTATCATGATTCTTTTGTTTTCAAAAATAACTTTTGAACAAGAATTAAAAATAAAATGTACCAACATTGTTATTATCACCAAAGCCTAATTAGATAATTCGTTGGAAGCTCGATCCTACGTAATGAACATGTTAGATGAGTCGATTTCGCGAGCAAAATCCATTTTAACGGTTTAATTTCTTCAATTAAGGGATAGAATTGCAAGTAGAGATACAATAACCAAAATGTTGATAAAAGTAATATATGTTGTTTGAAATTGAAGAAGCTCGATATATAGTTAATTAATCCATATTGCAGAGAGTCAAAATTGAGTGTCTAACAAATGCCTCCAACCCCCACCTCATTACCACTTAATCCTCCCAACCACCCACTCCTCACCCAAGTGACCCAATCCACAATATATATTTTTTCCTATATTAAAAATAAAACTAATTACTACAAGGAATTTGAAACAATGAGGGGAATATCTATAATTTCATTTCTTCTAATATCATTAATCATCCATGAAGCAACAGCAAGGTCCATCCAACAATATGATAATTCATACAAGGAATTATTTTCTCAATTTAAAGTTGCTAGAGAGCTAAGAGGTTTAAAAGGCAAAAAAGCACCACCACCACCACAAGATCCTAATAAGGCAAGTCATATGCTTGTCCCTCCTGCTTATAGTCATAAATCACCACCACCACCATCACCATCAGAAGTACCAACAAGTTATTCATGAGCTGACAAGGACGGAACTAGGATTTTAAATTTATGAATTGTAAATTCTACTTATTAGATTTGTATTTTAACATAAATATAAAGTTTTGGACAAAAATGATTTGAGTTTCACAAAATCAATAAGCAGATGTGTAGTTCAGCCCCTGATTGGGCTTGACATCATGTACTATTTCATATGTACTTAATTTTTTATTTTATTTTGGTGAATTGAATGCTTTGATTTGTAATAAAAGATTAAGGATGCTTGAAAGAGGATTATTGTTACATTATGTATTTTGATTCATCTTTTTCTTTCGTTTTAAATATATAACTTTTGAACAAGCAAAACATAATAATTATTTTACCAACATTATACTGTTACCACCAAAGCCTAATTATCCTCCATGACCACCCAAAGGCTAGTTTCATAAAGCATGTGCTTTTGCGTGGTATTTAATTTAAAAAATTGAGCTAGTTAATGTTGGGTAATAGAAATATTCTGTCTATGACAATGCTCACGAGGGGGTTGGGATGACTCTAGTTGGACTTATGATCAAATATGACATTTGTTGACAGACTTAGTTAAGAAATAAAGTTATGCTTTTGCTATCAACTATGACTTTTTACATGATATTAAGTGTTTGATTCTAACAAACGGTATCAACACCAATAACATGAAATCAATTTATGGCAAAAAAAAAAAAGTACATGAAATTTGATTGTTTGGCTATAACGTCTTTGCCATTCTTTTGTTGAAATTGAGATCTTTGTCAATATTCAAGAGGTAGCTAGGTCCCGTAAAACCATGATATTTCTTTTGCTCCAACATAATTGTTATGTTTTGTTTTTCAAAAATTAAATTAATTAATATATTCCATGACTTTGAAATACTACAATAAAACTTGGTACAAATTGAAAAATATGTATAGAATTTTATCCCAAAAGCATTTATACATAATTTAGGGAAACACTATGAGCGGGAGGGTTGGGGTTGGTTTTGGGGTCAGGACGGGGTGGGTTGGGTGGGGGCGTGGGAACAAGACAATTAATGCAGAATGTCATTTATTAAAATTATTTTTTTATTTTGACTAATAAAGTTGTTTTCCTGAATTTTAAAGAACTTATTTTATCTTTAAAAAAAGTGAAAATTGGAAACCATTTTTTAAAAGAAATTTCCTCCATACAAACACACTCTAGATAGTTCATCGATAATTAGTTCTTGTTAAAAAAATAAATCTCGAATTTAACTCAACTCGAAAGGAAGGAATTGTCCAAGATGAAACCATCCATCCCTTTTTCATCGAACGTTCGAACGTGACTCTTCAACAGTAATGTCCCCTCCATCCCTCTCTTGATTGCCAAGTTTTTTCCAGTGTGAAAAACAAGATTGGCTGACTATAACAAGTAAAGAAGCAAAGAAATTTGTTAACGCGTTATTTTGACATTTCCATTATTAATTAAACAATCCTCTGGAAAATGAAAATAATAATATGAGAGTCTACTATATATTCACAAGTTGTAATAATCTAATTAAAATGACAAAAAAGTGAGCAAAGGGACATTCCTTTAATTGTACGATAATTCTCACAAATATGAAGGCACATATAATTTCATATCTACTACTATTTTTGTTCATCCTTAGTGTGGAAGCAAGGTCCCTACCGCGATTTTCCTACGATGAATTGTTTAATTCTCAAGACAAGGTGGACGTAGCCGGAGGGCTAAACTATTTGGATAGGAGTAAGGGTGGAGGAAGAGTACCAACACCGTCACCACCAAATTCTAATTTGAGAATTCATTGGCGATGAATTGTTTAATTCTCAAGACAAGGTGGACGTAGCCGGAGGGCTAAACTATTTGGATAGGAGTAAGGGTGGAGGAAGAGTACCAACACCGCCACCACCAAATCCTAATTTGAGAATTCATTGGAAGCCACGACCAAAACCATCACGGCGGCCACCACCACCACCAACATCATCAAAAAGTTATCCACCATGATATGATTGGCCAAATGCAACATTTTAGACCGCGCTATGTGGTAATATTATGTTTATGTTTGGATTTGTCTATAGTTGGATCAATCGTTTTTCTTTGTACTATGTACTTATATTATGTTTTTGCATGAACGATTTCTATTTTGGGGTGATCTTTAATTTTTTTTGCCCTTAATTTTTATTTAATAAAAATTTATGAGTCAAAGTACTCTTAACTATATCTAATTGTGATGTCTTGTTCGACATAAGGTGTGTAATATCAAATTTGCAAGACATAAATTTAGAGAAAATTCTAAAACATAATGTTCTGAAACTGAATTAACATCTTATCAGACATAACTTATGTCTTGCGCATTTTTTCTTGTAAATTTTGTTACATCACTCGTATATATCTAACTATTAGACTTCTACATAGGATGATTACATACCTCAATATACATATAATTTCTTAGTTTAACTTATGTTATATTTCATGACTAATTCAAATAATAGAATTTTCAAACCCATATTTACTTCTTAATTGCAAGTATTCTAGTATATTTCCCTTCCATTTTTTTTCCGGAAGTGCATTTAAAATACAATATATAGGTTCACCAGAATCTAATAACGTGCACCTAATTAATTCAATATTGCATTAATTTAAAATTCATATAAAAATTTATAAATTTCAAATTCAAAATCCACATCCGTTATTTTTTCCAATCCAAACACCAATCATATATAATTCTCACTTATTTATAATAGAAAACTCATTTGGTTCCACATAGTAATGAGTGTGCAAGTATAATTTCATATATATGCCGTTACTATCATTATCACCACCAGCACCAACACCTCCACCACGACTAGTTTGAGAGGGTAGTTTATTTTTTTTTATCTTGTAAAGTATGAGGTAAATTCAAATTGTGAACTTTATGAATTCGAGTTTGAAATTTTAAATAAAGTATTTTTCTTTTTAAATTTTCATGATCAAACGTTCACGAAAACTTATATTTAATTTAAAACTTATGTGTAACTTTAAAGATATAAGTTTAAAGATCAATTAAAGAAAAAAAGTTAGTGAAGATTTTATTTTCAATAAGCAGAATGACGAAGACTTTGAAGAGTCAAATAGTCAACTTTTCAGAAAAGGAATTGCTAATAGTATTTGGATTAATTTAGACTAGAATAATTTATATACCAAAAAGTCTAAATGTTTGGTGAGTTTGTCTGGTGTTTTTTCCCTCGACTCTTTTTCGTTAGGTAATTTTCGAGGTAAATTTATTTTTTTCAAAGTTAGTTTTCTCATCGATTTAGTTGAATTTTAATTCACATATATAAAATAATTCAAGGATGTAAGGCAAATACTTCTAGATGTACGCTATTTGAATTAATTTAGACTAGAATAGATGTATATACTAAAAAGTCTAAAAGTTTGGTGAGTTTGTTTGGTATTTTTTCGCGAGGCAATTTTTTTTTCAAAGTTAATTTCTCACCAACTTAATTAAATTTTCTTGTAGTGTTAGTTTCCTCACCATTTAGAGGTACTACAACTCATTCGTGTTAATAATAAAAGGGCGTGAAGCGAGTATTTGTAACGATTTCTTATGCATATGCACAAAATTAGGGGTGTTCTAGGAAAATTGATAAAAGAAAAAACTCTTACACTTTTTTGATTTGATTTTGATTTTGATGAACCAACCCAACTATATAAATACCTAGTTAAAAATTATAATTACATAGACATATATGATGAATTAGAAACTTTACTACATATATTAATAGTTTGCACTTTGCACTCTTGATTTGTAAATCTAGATTGCATTTACAGTAATTAAATTCTTTTATCTTTAATGTTGAATTTGATTTGTAATCTTTTTTTTCATTAAAAATAACTTAATTGATTTAATTTAATTTGAAAAATCGTTTGAATTATTATTTCACCATCTTACAAAGGGAAAAAAAAAACAAAGGAATAAGAGCAACTTTTACATATAGCAAACACAAAAATCATATTTGTATGTTATAGCTATAGTTTGCATAATTGCGCTCCATAGCAAATTTTATGTTTGCTATGGCTTTTGATTTGTATAATTCGCTACAAACATCCAATTTTATACAAATTGTTCAGTTTTGTATAAATTCATTTATAAATTGTAATTTATATAATAAGATCTATATTTGTATAATTATAAGTGTATAGGACGAAAATATATGTATTTGTATTTGTATATACACTTTTCTCTCGCTTTATACAAACACAAACGCATTTTTATACATTTTATATCGAAATGTATAAAATGACTAATTGTATACCGAAAATGACTAATTGTATACCGAAAATGACTAATTGTATACCGAAAATGACTAATTGTATACCGAAAATGACTAATTGTATACCGAAAATGACTAATTGTATACCGAATCAGATTCAAAAAAAGGGGGATGTTTGACTGCGAATTACAATTAAAATAAACTATTGCTATAACATTTAATTTGAAGTAATAGTTTGCTATTTCATACAATTTTCCCAAAGAATAAAGCGACACTTTGTCGATCTTCAAACATTTGTTAGAAAATGAGCAAAAACATAAGATTTCTTCTGTTTTAATTTATTTGTCCTATTTTTTTTTGTTTGAAAATTCTTTAATTTTGATTTTCGACATAATTTATTTAAGATTACAAGATTAAAGGACATTTTTGTACATTTATACATATATCTTTACTTTAAAAACCACAACATTCAATTTGTATTTATTAGTCAATACAAGACAGCTATATTGAAATATAGGGAGTATAAATTGGGATGTTGTGATAGCTTAATTTTCAAGAAAACTCATTACTATTTGAGAATTTGAAACAATGAGGGCAATATGTATAATTTCATTTCTTCTAATATTTTTGATCATCCATGAAGCAAAAGCAAGGTCCATGCAACAATATGATAATTCCTACAAGGAATTATTTTCTCAATTTAAAGTTGCTAGAGAGCTAAGAGGTTTAAAAGGCAAAAAAGCACCACCACCACCACCAGATCCTAATAGGGCAAGCCATATGCTTGTCCCTCCTGCTTATCGTTATAAATCACCACCACCACCATCACCATCGAAAGTACCAACCAGTTATTCATGAGCTGACATGAGCGGAACAATAATTTTGAATTTATGGTGAATGCTTCGATTTGTAATAAAAGATTAAGGTTGCTTGTAATTAGAGGATTTATTACTATGTCTTTTGATTCATCTTCTTCTTTTGTTTTAAATGTATAACTTATGAACAAGCAAAATATAATAATTGTTGTTACCACCAAAGCCTAATTATCCTCCATGACCACCCAAAGGCTAGTTTCATAAAACATGTGCTTTTGTATGGTATTTTTTTATATGTTTATGTAAATATTTTACTTGGAGTTGGATCTTAGTTTTTGTATTATATTAACATATAACCCATATATTTTGTAATAAAAAAGATTGAGCATGAGATAAGGTAGTTGGTTTTGGGTAATACAAACATTCTATCTATGACAACCCTCATGAGGGTGTTGGCATGGCTCTAGTCGGACTTTTGATCGAATATGATGCTTATTGACAAACTTAGTTAAGAAATAAAGTCACATTTTTTTGTTATCAGTTTTAACTTTTGACATGATATTATGTGTTTGATTCTAACAAGTTGTATCAACACCAATAACATGAGAGCGATTTTTGGCAGAAAAAACGTACATAATATTTGAAGAAAAAGTGCATTATTTTTGGCGAAAGTAATAATAATCAGATGCACATGACGTCTATTTTTATACTTTCAATCTTTTTGTTTGAAGAATATAAAGTGATAACGATCAAATTCCTTTATCGTATTGCCTTTCGATCAATGTGTGTACAAATCACAAATGAGAGACAAAAGATTTGATTTGTAATCCATGGGCTCATAAAACTCCCATAAAATTTAAGTGTGTTACAGTAAATCATTTTAATTTATTTTCCCTTAAAAGATGTTAAATTCAAAAGTCATATTTTTTTCCCTTTTTATTGAACAAGCAAAATGACAAAGACTTTAGAGTCAACTTTTCAAAAAACAAGTTGCTAATAAAAGTCACGGGTTCTGACTAAATCATTTAATTAATTCAGGAAAGTGATAGGACTATAGTATAAAAAAATATTTTATTATTCATCGTCTAAAAAAATATTCAACAAGTTGGAACTATGGAACAGCTAAATATCAATTAAATGGTTAGTGGATTTAACCTAGTATATACGTACTAATTATTTTACATTATTAGTTGTTCAAGAATATAACTATGACATTGATTTTCTTGACCCTTTTTGACTCACGAGTCATGATTAGCTAGCGTATTATTTTATCGATACTTAAAAAAAAAATTCATAGAAAATGCACAAAAGTAATATAAATAGGCATTTTGTGATAACCTAGTTTTCATAAAACTATTATTTGAAAGAAAATGAGGGGAATACGTATAACTTCATTTCTTCTAATATTTTTTATTATTCATGAATTAGTTTGTGTGGAATTAGTAGCATCAAGATCCATGCAACAATATAATAATTCCTACAAGGAATTATTTTCTCAAATCAAGATTGCTAGAGAGCTAAGAGGTTTTGGTTTAATTAGAGGCAAAATAACAATATTGTCACCACCACAATCTAATAAGCAATCTCATATGCGTCCGGCCTCTCCTATGAAGCCACCACCACCAACTCCACCGCCATCATCACCACTATCTCCGCAAATACCATCACCACCATCACCACCAGCACCGATAAATTGAACATGAGTTGATAGGGATAGTGAAACTAGAATTTTGAATTTATAAATTCTGAATTCTGAAAAAGGTAGATTTTTGTTCTAGATTAATTTTTTAAATACAAATGTAGAAGGGTTAAAAATTAGTGATTTGTAAGATATGTAACTCCACTCGCATGAGTACCACGTTCGCAATCACTATATATAAGTAAGAGCGAGTCTCCCTTTATAAGTTTTTTTTTGCGAGTCTTAGATTTGGTTGTAGTTGAATGGATTCAGGATTATTGTGAGTGGATTTATTATGTATTACGATTCATGTTTTCTTTTGTTTTTAAAAATAACAAGAATATTTTTTAAAAAATCTAACAACATTGTTATTCTCACCAAAGCCTAATTAGAGAATTTGTTGCAAGCTCGATCCTACATAATGAACATGTTAGACTAGTCGATTTTGCGAGCAAAATCCATTTTAACGGTTTTATTTCTTCAATTAAGCGATAGAGTTGCAAGTAGAGATAGCATAACCAAAATGTTAAAAAAAGATGATATATGTTTTTTGAAATTGAACAAGCTCGATAGTTAATTCATATTGCGGAGAGTCAAAATTGTTAGGGTTTTGCCTTGATTTTCTTACCTTATTTGAAGTTTATTTTTTCCTTAAAAGAAAAGTCAAAGTATTATCATAAATACTTTAACTTTTTTCTGAAAAGAAAATATAATTCTTTTCCATATTTGGTTTATTCTTTTCTTAGAGGAAACGTATGAAATCCTATAAATAGAAGATCCCACTTCTCACACTATGAACATAAGAACATCCACAATGTAGTCAATTAAGAGTTTTGTTTATGAGGAGATTTTTCCTCAACAATTTTAATAATTTCTTTTTATTAGTTTTTCATATGTAGGCCGATTGACTAAACCATATAATAATATTATGTTTTTAGTATAAATTTTTGTCCTCTGATTTATCAATATCATGATTTGCAATTGTAAGTTTCCGCATGACGCCTTAATCATTTTCGAACCCAACAAAAATTGAGTGTCTAACAAATCCTCCAACCCCCACCTCATAACCACTCAATCCTCCCAACAACCACCCACTCCTCATCCCAGTGACCCAATCCACAATATATATATTTTTCTATATTAAAAACAAAACTATTTACATACTACAAGGAATTTGAAACAATGAGGGCAATATGTATAATTTCATTTCTTCTAATAATTTCCTTGAATATATATGAAGCAAAAGCAAGGTCCATGCAACAATATGATAATTCCTACAAGGAATTATTTTCTCAATTTAAAGTTGCTAGAGAGCTAAGAGGTTTAAAAGGCAAAAAAGCACCACCACCACCACCAGATCCTAATAAGGCAAGTCGTATGCTTGTCCCTCCTGCTTATCGTCATAGATCACCACCACCACCATCACCATCAGAAGTACCAACAAGTTATTCATGAGCTGACAAGGGCGGAACTAGGATTTTAAATTTATGCATTCTAAATTCTACTTATTAGATTTGTATTTTAACATAAATATAAAGTTTTGGACAAAAATGATTTGAGTTTCACAAAATAAATAAGCAGATGTGTAGTTCAGCCCCTGATTGGGCTTGACATCATGTACTATTCCATATGTACTTAATTTTTTATTTTATTTTGGTGAATTGAATGCTTTGATTTGTAATAAAAGATTAAGGATGCTTGAAAGAGGATTATTGTTACATTATGTATTTTGATTCATTTTTTCTTTTGTTTTAAATATATAACTTATGAACAAGCAAAATATAATAATTATTTTACCAACATTATATTGTTACCACCAAAGCCTAATTATACTCCATGACCACCCAAAGGCTAGTTTCATAAAGCATGTGCTTTTGCGTGGTATTTAATTAAAAAATTGAGCTAGTTAGTGTTGGGTAATAGAAACATTCTGTCTATGACAACGCTCACGAGGGGGTTGGGATGACTCTAGTTGGACTTATGATTAAATATGACATTTGTTAACAGACTTAGTTAAGAAATAAAGCTATGCTTTTGCTATCAACTATGACTTCTTACATGATATTAAGTGTTTGATTCTAACAAACGGTATCAACACCAATAACATGAAATCAATTTATGGCAAAAAAAAAAAGTACATGAAATTTGAAGAAAAAAGTGCATTATTTTTTGGCGAAAAAATAATAATTAGATGCACACTATATCTATTTATATATTTTCAATATTTTTTTTTGTTAAAAAAATGTAAAGTGATAATGATCAAACTTCTTTGTCATTTAAAAAAAAAAAAAAAAAAAATTTTTTGGCATTT